ATAGAAATTAACACCACCGCTGTGAAACTGACAGTTTACCATGCAGTATTGATGTCCTCAATGTCTCTAACTACAAACGCTCAATCTTCAATATTGAGCACTTCCCCATACAAACGTATAGCGCATTTCACCTATATATATATATATATATATATATATATATATATATATATATATATATATATATATATATATATATATAATATCATTTCAGCCACAAGGAAGGCAATGAAGCCACTATCTTGCAAGAGGTTACCGAATATTAGAGAATATGAAAATAAAAATAAAAAAAATATTTGAAAGAGAGGGGACAATAAAAGAATAAGAATTAATTATACCGAAGATAATGATTGATACCGAATTTAAATTTTTGAAGATTAAATTTAGTACGGCGCTCTAATTCATAAAATCTAGGTAACCATAGGGGAAACTTCATCAGAACAATTACCATTGAAGTATTTATTGAAATGGTGTATGGAACTTAAATTATGGCGCAAAGAAAGTCACTGAAGTCGAGATACATACATACATACATACATCTCTCTCTCTCTCTCTCTCTCTCTATATATATATATATATATATATATATATATATATATGTGTCCTCTGTGCCTTTTGGAGCCGCTTGTTATTTGTACGTGTCTATTTTAAAAATATATATATAACTTAAAAAAAATATATATATATATATATATATATATATATATATATATATATATATATATATATATATATATATAGATAGATAGATAGATAGATAGATAGATAGATAAAATTATATATATACTATATATATATCCTACATATATATATATATATAAATAATCTTATTGTTGAGTGATTTCCACTGTCAATTTATGAATTTAAAAAAATCGACATGATTTCTTATTAATCTAAACGTTTTATGTTGTTTTTATTTTTTGTTTTTAGTTTGTTTGTTTTTTATTTTGTGTGTATAAATAATAAAAAAGTAATGTTAGCAGGGTAAATTGAGCCTTGCTTTTATATAAAGGCTACTCGTAGCAGAGAGATAAAGCCTCCCTGTCTTGGAAATTGTTTCGATTCCTGACCGGAGGCAAATTTTTCTTTAATAAAACTTCTCATCTCTAGGCCGGTAGATATACATTTCTCTGTTTAAAAAAAATGAAAGTCTACTCAATCTCGTGTAACAGCTAAATATAACGATTAGTATTAACTAATACTATATATATATATATATATATATATATATATATATATATATATATATATATATATAAATATATGTGATATGAAAATGATATAATTAGTCTGGCTGGTTATGTTTTTTTATTCTGTACCTTTCTAGTGTAAGGGTTATCAACGCCGAGAGTGGAATTGGCGCCTACTCTGTTGCATTTACTTTCGCACTACTTCGCTTGGGGGATGCATGTATTCATTTCTCCTTCCCCCTAACTATCGTTCAAATAGAAGGGTTGGTTGGTTCTTTTTTTATCTTTTTGGATGGGGGTGCAGACATTGTATAAGAAGGGTAACTCTGTGTTCAAAACCACTGGAAACCGCTTCACTCTTAAAATGTATGTCATTTCCCAGATATTAAAAAAGACCCCTTGTAGAGACATTATCGCCTGAGGGAATATGACATGAAAAATTACTAAGACTTTTTGTGACACCTATATATATATATATATATATATATATATATATATATATATATATATACATACATATATAAAAATAATAATAATAATAATAATAATAATAATGGACTCTTCCGTCGGTTTCGACGTATGAGGATCTGACTGCTTATTGATTCAGTTATGAAAGTTTGTGCCATAATCTTAAGTGACACATTTATATATATATATATATATATATATATATATATATATATCGCTTAGCATTACTGGATTACTAGTACACATGGAAATGCCAATTATAATATAACTAATTATAGGGTATCTTACAAGGAGAGGCAACAAATCTTACTGAAATATATCATCATCATCATCATCATCATTATCACCACCATCATCATCACCGTCATCATCATCATCATCATCATCATCATCATCTGTAGTCACTTCTACCTGACCCCCTCCCATATGTCTCGTTTGTGTGACAATATCTGCGATGAGATCCAGAGAGATATTTATTACTGCGTAGCGTGTCTTAGGCAAGTGAACCTGGCGGATTCCATCTCCCTCTCCCTCTCTCTCTCTAGAACACACCACAACCGATGTCCTCCAACTTGGTTACAAACGTATGACCGTTGATTCGATCGAATCTGGCTGCTGACTTAAGACTAAGATGTCCCCCTTCACTCAGCGATGCCGTGTCATCATTGTCCTGAAGATACTACCAGTAGCGCAACCGTCAAAACTTGCTGAAAGTTACATATCTTGAACTAAAAGTTTTGAAATTTGCATAATAATGGTGATATTAAAGTACATTGACAGGTTTCTTAATGCATAGATTGAATTAAAAAAAAAAAAAAAAACAGAAAAAAAAAAAAACATTGGATCCGCTATCGTTTGTATGAAGCGTCATTATTCTAAATTGGAGCTGAGTTCTATGTCCTGGCAGCTATAAGCAATTGTTTACATTATTGTATTCTTTATTACTAAATGATTTATAGCTTTTGTTAAATTGAAAATATCATAAAGAAAAAAAACCCCAAAAAACTTGAAATTGTTTTTCATACTTTTTTAAAAGTCTTACAATACTGTAATTTGTTTCCTACCGGCAAATGATTACCATTTCTAAAATATTAGATAGCTGGAGGAAAAATATTAATTACCTTGAGAAAAACAACTCGACTCAAAGAAGTCAAAGTGTTTACAAGGAAGCAAGGACATAGTTTACGCTTTACAATTAAACACATACTATATGATTATTTTTATTTTCCGCAAATATTTGATACGGCTTTTGAAAGGAAACAGTTTAGCGAATTAAAAAAAAATAAAGAAAGATGCTGTTTGCAAAGAGAAGATAATTATTCAAACAGGCCATATTGACAAACAAATGCTGATAAAGCGAAACTAATTCTCTTTAGTTTTCAACTTGTCAATATTCATTGATTTTCTTTATCGTTATTATTATTACTTTATATTTGAAATTCGATCGGTATATTCTCCAACCTACTTTAGGTAAATACATTCAACGCGAAACCTTATTGCTGGTTTTGCTTTAGTCTGGTTAGTTGACTATGATTCGTAGCTTTCATGGTACAGTATGGAACGTTTGATAGAAAATTAACAGAAAACCAGTTAGATTAATTGCTGAGGGAAAAAGTTTGCTGATGGGAGCCGATATAAGGAAAATAATATAGTGAGTGAATTTAAGGTATAACGACATGTAATAATGTTATTTAAATAAATTTATCGAATTTATTTTATATTTTAATACGTCATTTCCATCCAGGATACAGGTGAGCATGACGATTCATAGATTCCATTTCTTTATTAAAGGTGATTTTTTAGGCGTTTTACCTCAAGCTATGACATGAAGCTATTGGAGTAGAAGAGACAGCTACATTTAACAGTTTCAACAGTGAAAGGGTGAGAGCAAGATGCCAGCCTAGTTGAACGCTTAAATTCATGAAATCTGGGAATCAGTAAAAGAAGCTCATTGGAGCAGTTACCATGAAAGTATTTGTAAAAAAGACAGAGGGAGGTGACGGCACATCTGTAAGAGAGCGACTGCAGACGAGATACCAGATCAGGGCCAATTACATTGCGTATCCGTCTCTGGATGTTATCAAGAACCTTGAGACAAACAGAAGGGGCGCCAGACCATATATGGCAGCAATACTCCATGCAAGGGCGAATTGTTGATTTGAAGGATCGACTCCAGCGAGAAAATTTTCCTGGCGCGGCACAGGGAGCCAATTTTCCTTGCGGGGGACGAAGCTATTGAATTAATGTATTTGTTCCATCTCAGGTCAGCAGTTAATGTGAGACCGAACAGTCGCAAAGAGGTGCTCAAGTGGAGTTAAGCGTCAGACATTTTAAAGGGGGCCAGGGATGGTTCTTTGTGGTGAGTAAGAGAGAGCAGTCTTGTTTGTCAAACATTCTTGATAAAAATAGTGGTGTAGTCTCCCATTGATTTCCCCACGGTTTAAATTTAAGATTTTTCCTTCTCTTAAACAGGCTAACACCCAACGCCAGACAGCTGACTCTACACTACTCTACTATTTAGCCCATTGACAGATATTTGGAAAGGGGCAGATTGATGCTTATTCCAAGAGCATTAGTGTGAAAGAGAACACAGTAGACTAGTTATTAAAATAAATCGGAACTTGTTACCAAGTATTAGGGTGGTCCTCGTCATTATTTTTTTCTTTGAAATTACTCCTAAGTTAGATGTGTAGAGATGTCAACAGCCATCACATTGTAGGGCAGAAGGGCTCTTGGAGGATGCCTAACTCTTTTCTTTAGTCTCTTTTCAGCTCTTCTATATGTCTTCTGATTTGTTTTTTTAGTGGATTGCTCTTCTCTAAAGGAGCCTTTATTAAACTAGATAATCTTTTTTTAAAACAATAAAATGATCAGGTATATATTATGATTAACACTGACACTTCCCCTGTTGTGTTAGATACTCTGAATATAAATAAAATAATTTAAAAACTAAATTTTTAGACTCATTCTGATCAAAGTATAAATGCCTAAGGAAATTATTTGATAATAGTTTACAAAAGAAGAAAGCTTACGAAATATTGAACTATTCATATTCAAGCTTAGTTTAGATTTTACAAAAATGATCAGAACTGAAGAAATTAACAAAACTTATGAATTCGTTTGCATGTCTGTATATATATATATATATATATATATATATATATATATATATATATATATATATGTATGTATGTATGTATATATATACACTACCATTCCTTGTAAAAATGATCGAATTTCCCCGTATCCTTAGAAAAATAATATTATGAATGTATGTGCTTATAAAACTCAATAAATAATCAAAATAAGTTATTCCAAAATTCGCTTGAAAATGAAACAGGACTAGGGACTTTAATTTAATTCTATATTTGAATTTCACATTTTTAGTTTCAGTTTTTGAAACATGGTAATTCCTGTGTAGTGATGGAACTATATTTTTAAATTAGTAAATTTGTAATGTTTATGCTCTGTAGATTTGCATTGAGCACTTTTGTAAAAATAAAATAAATAATATGTACACCGGATTATATATCTTACTGTTCTTTTTATTTATTATAATATATATATATATATGTGTGTGTGGGGGGGGTGTACGTGTGTGTGTGTGTGTGTGTGTGCGTGTATGTGTGTAGTGCTTTGATAGCTATATCTATATATATGTGCGGGTGGGTGTGTTGTGTGGGTGTGTGCATATATGGACAAAACTTTACTAACACATTTTTCTAGTAAATATTATTTTCAATGGAAGAAAAAAATAAACGTTTAAAATAAAAATCACTATTTTAAACGGAGTAAATGCGTGCAGAATAATTGTGTTGTGACAGTCTTCTAAATATATATATATATATAACCATCAAGCTACGCGAGACGGCCTGAAATATATGTTTTCACAAATTCTATGTGAATGAATAATCGAAAAAGAAACATTGTAAAGGAAAAAATAACAGTTATAAATTATTTTTTATTCAATATTGCTTACGAAAATAATATATATATATATATATATATATATATATATATATAGCTGGCTGTGCATATATAAGTGTATAGATGTTTCCTTGTAGGGAAATGGCTACGATTACCATTACCATATTCCAAAATACATAAGCACTTCTATCCCAATGCGTACTATCTAAATGAATGCGTGCAGGCGATACTATACGCACTTCACAAAGAAAGGGGAGAGAGAGAGAGAGAGAGAGAGAGAGAGAGAGAGAGAGAGAGAAGAGTGGAAGAGAAAGAGATATGGGAAGGGAGTGACAGAATAAGACACGGGGAGAAGGGGAAGCAGAAAGAAAGAAAGAAAAAAAAATGGACAATGAAGTTCTTTCCTGCAGCTTTGAATTGTGTTTCCATTTTGTTTTGGTCTGTTCTAATCCAGTAAAATGCTCTAATGATTCGTACAAATTCAGGAAAAAAATTCTGGATGAGTCATTGTAAGTTTGTATTCAAGGGATGATATATATATATATATATATATATATATATATGTGTGTGTGTGTGTGTGTGTGTGTGTGTGTGTGTGTGTGTGTGTGTGTGTGTGTGTGTGTGTGTGTGTGTGTGTCTCTATTGGTTAAGTGATAGATGCGCTTATGTTACAATGAAACTGAACAGAACGCTTGAAAAATGGCTGACGGCATTTGGGGGCCTTTTCGTCTGATGGGGGACATTTTGAATCAAGTGATCGTATCTGTTGAGGTTTTTGCTGTTAAACCTTATGAGCGCTTTTTTTTTCTACATGACTATGTGGAAACAATATATAAGGGAACATAAAAAAGTAAAATAGTTCAAAACAAAAGGAAAACAAGAAAAGTTAAAGGAAAGAAAAAAGGAAGGATGAAAAATTAAGAAAACAAAAGAGAAAAGAAAGAAAGAAGAAAATCGAAGGAGAAGAAAAAAGGAATTAAAACAAATAAATGTACAAATTGATAATCGTGCCTTTCTTTGTTACATCAGAAGTCGTCGTTCGACTTTAGATAAAAAATGGGATTTTGAATGCTGATTTTCTAAGATGAACAAAAAGTAAATCCTCCTTAGATATTTTGCACAATATTGTCCATTTTATAATGGTTCTTCGTATTAAGCAATCTTGTGCAAATATAAAACTGTGAAGCAACAAATGCAAGAAATACAGAATACCTTAAAGAAAGAAAGATAAAAAAAAGAGTGAAAAATAAAGAAAGAGATGTAATAATTAATTGTAAGGAAAAAAGAGAGAAAAAAATAAAATTCATTATAAAAAAACATCTAAGTGAAAGAAAGAAAGAATAAAAAGACGGAAAGAAAGAGGAAAGAAACGAAATTGTTAATGAAATCTTATCAGAAAAAGAAAAAGATGGAAGAACAAGGAAAGAAAAAAGAATAAATAAAATAGTATGAATAATATAAAACAGAAGAAAATAGAGAAAAAAAGTGTGTAGAGAAAGGAAAATTAATTAGAAGAGGAAACATTAAGATTTTATATTAAGTAAGTAAACGAGTAAACTAAAGAAAGAAAAAAGAAAGAAAGAAAGAAAGAAGAAAGAAAGAAATAGAAAATATTAAGAAAGAAAGAAAGAAAGAAGAAAGAAATAGAAAATATTAAGAGAGAAAGAAAGAAAGAAGAAAGAAATAGAAAATATTAAGAGAGAAAGAAAGAAATAAAGAAGAAAGAAATAGAAAATATTAAGAGAGAAAGAAAGAAAGAAAGAAAGAAAGAAGAAAGAAATAGAAAATATTAAGAGAGAAAGAAAGAAAGAAAGAAAGAAAGAAAGAAAGAAGAAAGAAATAGAAAATATTAAGAGAGAAAGAAAGAAAGAAAGAAAGAAGAAAGAAATAGAAAATATTAAGAGAGAAAGAAAGAAAGAAAGAAAGAAAGAAGAAAGAAATAGAAAATATTAAGAGAGAAAGAAAGAAAGAAAGAAAGAAAGAAAGAAGAAAGAAATAGAAAATATTAAGAGAGAAAGAAAGAAAGAAAGAAAGAAAGAAGAAAGAAACAGAAAATATTAAGAAAGAAAGAAAAAAGAAAGAAATAGAAAATATTAGGAAAGAAAGAAATAGAAAATATCAAGAAAGAAAGAAAAAGAACATTATAGACAAAGAAAATGATAAGCAAAATTTAAAAATAAATAAAAATAAATAAATAAAAAATAAATAAATAAATAAACAAAAAATAAATAAATGAAATAAATAAAGATTGGAAATAGAACAGGGAAATAAAACAAAGAAAGAAAAAGATACTGAAAGAATTAAAAAGGAAAAATTGAAAGAATGAGAAAATAAAAATAAATAATGGTTTTCGGGGAATGGTACAAAAGAAATAAAGAAAAATGCCACGGAAATGTTCGTATGTACATATTCACGTAATCTTGCGGGTGGCGTGGCAGTAGAAATAACAGAGAGTGTGGGGAGAGATATACGCAAAAAAAAAAAAAAAAAGAGAAAGAAAGAAAAAGAAAAATACGCGCCCACGTACGCTTTCAGCCACACATATGCACGCCCACGATGATACGCGTGCACGCGTACAGAAATACATATACATGAACAGACTTAAATGTACTCCACACCCACGGTCATACTCGTACAAAATAGACAGTCATGCTAACACGCACCATACTCGAACCTGCATGCATATACATACTCAAATACACCTAGTCTCACACCTTAATTAATATTAAAACGCTCGAACGCACACACACTCTCGCTTCTAAGCGTACGCATTCGTAGCTAGATTCACACACTTATACATCATTCGTCATACATTCCCAACTACGAGACTGGCAGTTACGCACACACGCACGTACGCAGACAGTAAGAAACGCACGTGCCTCTGTGTTTATTTGTTTTACGCTCGCATGCATGTATATCTTTATTTTATCGTCTAAAAAAGAAAGAAAGAAAGAAAGAAAGAAAGAAAGAAAGAAAGAAAGAAAGAAAGAAAAAGGTATTTCAATAGAGCGGTTTACAGTCGAGCAATATTTACGCCGACTCTGACGTCAAGGTAAAAAAAAAAAAAAAAAGCACCCGCGCTTTCTAGATAAATTCCACGCTTACTGTCTGTCCTTATTTTAACGCCGTCTCCGACTCCTTTCTGTTTCCACGTGCAAAGGGAAATTGGAAACAATAAAATCAAATTTTGCGCGTGGATAAAGATGAACCGGATATCGTAAAACATACGATATGTGTCTGAGATTGTGAGGCGTCAAGAAAGAAAAATATTGAACGTGAAAATATACACTTTAAAATAATCTATAAAAAGAAGTTAGATGCATCAAGCAAAGGAAGCGTTTACAGTTTATCTATCTTTTGGTCTAGCTGTTGTTGTTGTTGCTGCTTTAATCTTTGTTTTAAATGAAAAATAATGAAAACATAAAACGAAAGATAGTTAATTAGAGTCTAGTTCCATTTGATGATATTACACTGTAATATCGAAATGTTACGTTTTTAATCAGATACGCCGGAAAAGTAACGACAAAGAAGGAAAAAGCGAGACTAAAAATAAAATTAAATTAAAATAAATAAATAAAATAAAATAAACGAGAAAACAATAAAGAAAGAAACAAAAAATATTCATTTCTTTTTATTACACATCCTAGACGATCATGATACGAGAATGAACTTCTTTTTCGAACGTTTCTCGTTGAAAAGTTGAATTCGGGTCAAGCAGCGATTTGAAAGGGAAGTTAAAATACACACTGATTTCTTTGAGCGATAAAACAAACAAGCGATTACATTTGGAGATAGATATAATGACGCGCCTAAAGGTGTTTAATTTAAAGCTATCTTTTCAAATGGAACGATCACTTCAAAATGTGCTTGAATATCTAAGCTACGAATTTGTATAGAATCAACCGAGAAAATATATTTCATATTTAATTTGCATACAAAACAGCTATACAATACAAGCTCTTCGAATTTAATCATTGCATATCAAGTTGCTTTGAACTGATTCCAATTCCAGCGATCGAAATAAAATAAAAAAAAAAAAAAAAACATCGTATAAAAAAAAGAAGAAAGAATCTTGTCTACCACACGGACAGCACACAGTTCTGGATAATGACTGAGAGGGTCGAAAATAACCGAACAAATCATAATAAAATCTAAACTTTCGACAGTTTATTCACATTTTGAACCCGATGTATTACATCTTATTCTAAAACTGTAATAAAAAAATTAAACGGGCAAATCTTATCAGTTATATTTCACAAAACTGGTTTGTATATCACACATGAACGCACGCGTACGCGCGTGAACACACACATATATATATATATATATATATATGTGTGTGTGTGTGTGTGTGTGTGTGTGTGTGTGTGAAAGAGTTCATGGGTGAGTAATCCTAGTAGATCCTATCAATATAAAATATTATATCTGACCTACAAAAGAGAGCTCAATATAATTTTTATTGTAGAGTATATAAGGAATTACAATGAATGAAACCCAAAACAAATTACCCCATACAGATGGCCTTTTTCATATATATATATATATATATATATATATATATATATATATATATATATATACACATACATACATATATTATAAAAATATTTTCATATAATAGATTACAATAAAACATTTTACATCGCTACACAAAAAATTTCATGTTTCGGAACTATAGTCGTTCCTCTTCGGGCGATGGTAGATAACTTATGATAAAAATGATGTATTTGCGAAATCTGAAAGCAAATCTTTGTCTCCTTTGAAAGTTAAAATGAGGGATGGCCCAAGGTCAGATTTAAAATAGGCATGTCTGGATTAACCAATTAAAAGTCATATCTAAACTAAACTAGAAAAATGAAAAATGAGATCAGAGGGTGGAACGAGGCGGGTTAAATTAAATTTATGTCTTGATAAACTGGCACTCTAGATATGTTTGCATCGAACACACACACACACACAGACACACACACACACACACACATCTATCTATATATATATATATATATATATATATAGATAGATATAAGTATCAGACAACATGTAAAACAGTTTTACTAACTTGACTACGCATTTCACCTTTGTTTCGTGATATAGATTTCCATGGTCTAGAACAAAAGAAATATATGTGTGTGTGTGTGTGTGTGTGTGTGTGTGTGTGCGCGCGCGCGTGCGTGCGTGCGTGATCGCATGAATGCGCTTCAATATTAAATTGTTAACATCTTTCTACTAGGCCGGCGTCTCTAAATCAGAATAAAGTCTAAAATTGTGTATTGTGTATGCGTGCGTGTGCGCACACGCACTTACACACACACACACACGCGCGCGCGCACGCATATGCACACATGCATAAATACATAAAAGAAAGACAAAACTATGTGTTAGGAGAGTGTCTTGGAATCTCTGAGGATAATCTGGTGTCTTAAATCACATTACTCTAGCTTATCACTTCCTGGCTTGAGAATTGAAGAGTTTGTATGGCTCTGCGATTGTTTGTTTTATCTATACCTATATTAGAACTGTTTATATATATATATATATATATATATATATATATGTTATGGGATCTTACCCATAATAATAATAATGGACTATTCCATACTTAATAAATACTGCGCCTCAGTCAGTAGTTCAAGTCGAGTCAAGAGTCGAATCAGAGGCAGTCCGAAACAGAGTCGTGTTCAGACAATTACTGCAAGACATTGGAATAGTGATACGGGTCGAGACTACATTGTTCTCTCTACTAAACCTGATTGTTCATATTAACACTTCTACTTCTCTGTATATATTCCTGTTTGTAATATATCTATGTTATTCCATACCTGTGTTCGAGTTCTTCTTTATTGGTTCTACCTTGGACTATCACCGTGGTACAAGGAACCGGACCAATAATATATATATATATATATATATATATATATATATATATTACTCTGACGAAAAGTCAAGTCGGAAAATAAATCATTTAAAACTTTTATTTATCTATTACCTATTGATACTCTATTTGTTTTAAAATAATAACTACTTTTTTTTTAATCGGCATTACCCCAAGCAAGACAGTAAGCAAATAAAACACAAGGGTTTACCGAATGTGGAAAAATTAGGAAGAGTAACATTAAAAATAAGTGGGAAGAGGAAATCAGGAGGACTGTAGATAAACATTGCATTTAAATTTTTACAGATTAAAATTGGCACAGAAGGGGGTTCCACAAGTGAGAAGTGCGAGAAAAGAAAACTGTTAGCAGAGAATTTAAGGTTACATCTAGCCAGCTCAAATGTAAATTGATGAGATGTCGACGCCAGTCTAGTATTGCGCTTAAATTTAAAAATTCTATGAACCACAGCGAAGAGCTCATCTGAACAATTACCACGAACGTATATGATAGAAAATTATATATATATATAGAAAATTATATATATATATATATAGAAAAGACACAGAGAGACGACTTTACAGCAGTGGGAAAGTTACTGAAGCCGAGCTGCCAGATCAGGACCAATAATATTGCTGATTCTTCTTTGGATTTTATCAGCGAGATCAAAGTTATTAGCAGGTGCACCGGGCCATATTTGGCAGCGACATTTTAAGTATGCACGTTGGTAGACCTATGAATACTTAAGATCGATTTTGGAGAGAAAAATTGTCACGCACAACATATTTGCAAAAATCTACTCGTCTAAAACGTCTTATTCTCCTGTAATTTACTGGTCGACGTGTTTTGTTAAGCGCAAACGACGTTTGTTATATATATATATATATATATATATATATGATGGACTCTCCCGTCGGTTTCGACGTATGAGGTTCCTACAACTTTGTTTATTTAACCTTGTGTGTGAGTCGCAAGTGACATTTCTGTCCTGCTAGTGATTTGCAAAGAAGTCCACAGATTGTGCAAGAGTGTGGATTCTTGGAGTATATGGCAGATATTTTATTCCTTTCCCTAGTTTGACGAAGCTTGACAATGTTTGATGCTTCCTTGTTCTTGATGCCGTTGTAGCATGTAGTCTTCCATTCATTACGATCAATTACGATGTTCTCAAAGGTAGATTTATATTCGCAGCTAAGAGGTTACTCTTCAGCTTGTCCCTGTACCTAAGCAAAGGCAGAGCCACGTTTCGATGACCATTGCCAAGTTGACCATACATGAGCATTTTTGGAATTCTGTTGTCTTGCATATATATATATATATATATATATATATATATATATATACAAGTATATGATTGGTGTATACGGAATAAATTCCAGTAACCAACAATTACTATTCTTAAAAGAGTGCTCAATGCACACATACATACATACATATATATATATATATATATATATATATATATATATATATATATATATATTTTTTTTTATTTTAAGCAGTATCTTTTTATCTACCGATCAGATTTTTTTTCAAGTCAGAAGGTTTATTTTCTTTAAAAAGATCTCTCAAATGTTCAGGTTTGTAGACGAAATAACGAAATTTTGCGACGCGATTAGAACAATCTACCCCTGCAGATTAAATAAAGTCTTTACTTCAACATTCATGTCGGTTATACAATCGATCGATTGATATATGAAGGTCGGAGGACACAACATGTCAAAATGTTGTGATAATAACAACAAAGAGAAAAACAATAGTTCGAGTATAAATGATAGACAGAACTGAACCAAGACTACCTATCCAAATTTGAAATCTTTTAGCATTTTGTCATATTTCAGATGTTATCAAATGAATCGTCTTCAATTATTTTTGTTAAATGCAAAAAAAGTGTTTTGTAAACCACATTCTTAATATTCTTAATATGGTCCGAAAAACAATTAATTAAGTAGTGAGATATAAGGACACGTTCTTCTTTCATGCTATTAATTTTCCAAGGCATTAGTTTGGTCATTTTCTATTTAAAATATTATTTGAGCAATAGGCAAATACACTGTCATACCGAAAAATCGTCATTTGCAAATCACTTTTGGTGAAGCGTAAAAACATATTTCCAGTACTTTTCACTTGTAATGTTTCTATCAAGTAAAAAAATGTTCATAAAGTCTTCTTGATGTCAACCCAATCAAGTTTGTCTGTGGTTGGTATAAAAAAAAATTAAATAAAAACTAAACTGTTTTGGGCTAGTTCGCTTCCTTTGTTAGACATTTTCCCGATTTCTAGATTATATGTCCCGGAAAGGGATATATTTATTCGAAGTAGCAGAGTGGTTTTGGACTACTGTAAACGGGTAGGACAATCTAGCAGGTAACCGTAATGGACTGGTCCTCGTCGTAGTGGTAGGCAATAGGCGTAGACAATAGACGAAGACTATAGGCGTAGTCCATGTACATCCACATCAGTCTGTATTTATGGCTGACACCAGCCAATCATATTACTGTGCCTGTCTTTTTAACATTTCCGTTATTTCGAACCGAACCCAATCCAGCTGGGTAAGTTGGTCTTATTCAGCTTTCTATGCTCTAGGTTATATTGCATATCAATTAATACTCACCTGACTTGTTCACCTTTGTGTTGCTTGAACGTTTGAACTGCATATGACTTTTCAGCAAAACCAGACTGTTATATACAGAACCTATGAACACTAATGAGTATGTCCCAATCCTCATAAATATGTTGGACACTATTGTAAGTTGAGGTAATATGCTCTGTAAGTAGTCCATCACTAGCAGTGGTTTACCTATTTCACGCCGCTGGCGAGTATTGTATTTTGTTGATGTTATAAAGATTACCATTTCATTTCCGAACTCCGTTTTGGTTATTCCTCATTCACTAACTCTTCCTAGGTTAGAACAGAGACCCAAGAATTGAACACACAACTGACAGGGAATCCAGTGTGTTTTAAGTAACGTTTTAATTCACTAGAACTTTGTTCAAAATTCCAAGGTGGTTACCGAGTACGAAGATAGACCCCTGAAGAAGAAAGGAGGTACAACAGCCGAAACGTTGCCAATAAAATAAACATGTTGGTCCCAATAATAATAATAATAATAATTCATCTAAAAATTATGAAAAAGACACCAATTTTATTGGAAAAAAAGGATGCATAGAAATTATAGCCACAAAAAGTAAAATCGTCGAGCTGAGTTCAAATTCTTGCCTAGTCTGTTCCGTTTTTTTTTTTGTTTTTTTTTTGCACTTAGGAAGTTAAAATGGAAGTGTAGACTGAACATTTCTAGTCTTGAATTGCAAACAATCGCGAAGAATGACCTTGAATTCAAAGACGCGGAGAAGACAACAGGAAACCACTGCATTATCTTTCCCAAGAAGCTATGGAAATTCACAGATAATAAAAAAGGAAACTGTGGAGCGCCATTTTCGCCTACGCCCCGAAAAGACATGCAATTTGAAAAAATGTAAAAGAATTATCTTATCTAATAAAATTTGACATTGTGTATGCATTTAAGAATGGGCACGTAATCTTAAACAAACATCTTAAAATTCTTGGCTGGCACCCGCTTTAATAGAAGAGAATCGGGTGTTAAAATTTATAAACATATCTAAAAAAGAAAAGAAGTATGGGGAAAATAAAGAAAAAGGTATAATAATAAAAAGTAACGACAGGATGGATACATGATTATCCAAGCAAAGCAATAAAGCCACTAAGATGGAAAAGGTTATTGAGTGTGAGAGAATATGAGAACAAAAACAACCGAATGATTGAAAAATAAAAGAACAAAAATTAAGACAGAAGATAACAGAAGATAACATCAAAGTTGAATGGGGATGAAGAATCCAGGAGAGAGATCCACATGCGAGACGTGCGACCGAAGAAACTGTTAGTATAGACTTACAGTTGTATATAGCTATTTCAGCAGTAAAATGATGGTACCTTAGAGCTAAACTAGTATTGCTCACAAGTTCATAAAGTCTAGGTACCATAGATGAAAGTTCATCAGACGATTTACTGTGAAAATATTTATAGAAAAAGCACATGGAAGCTCGTTACGGGGCTGGGAAAGGACTGAAGCCAATATTATACGATATTGTATTTATCTAATTTTATAAAAATTTCAGGGTTGCCGGTCCGGATCCAGCCCGGAAAGTTTTTAATTTGCTCAGAGGGTCGGTTTGATTTCAAAATCGTATGATATGTTGGGCCATGGCTTCTAGGAGTAAAATTGAAGACACACACAATTTTATTTTGAAACACTGTAATTTAAGAACAGTAATCGTTTTCATTTGAAATGAGCTATTGAAAGTTAGCGAGTTATGGCACTTTAAGTTGAAACGTGTGCCATAGTGGCACACTGAAATTCGCATATATTATATAGATATATACGAATAAATATGTGTGTAGGGATCTTATTGCCTCTTCACATATATATATATATATATATATATATATATATATATATATATATATATTACAGAATTTGGGAATTATTATGATATATGTTATTTAATAATTTATACAGACTATAAAAAGTATTTAGAAGCTAAAATTTTATTGGCGTCTATGATTCTATCCGCTACTATGTGCTAGTATGTATACTTACACACATACATACAAATGCACACACACACACATATAACACCTGCATTTACACTGACATACAGGCTTCTTTATATCTAAGCATTTATGAATAAATAGTTGTGCATATTTGTGTGTGTGTGTGTATGCACACTTGTGTATATGTGTATATGTGTGAAACAGAGCAAGAGCACGTGTATTAAATCGTAGGTATGCGTGCCCATTTTGGCAGACGCTGTAGGGATGAGTTAGGAATGATGTGTGCGCACTCACACACACAAACATAAAAATATGAATTACACGCGCTTGCGCACACACACACACGTGCGCATATATACACACAAAGATAAAAAAGGAAAACAACTTACAAAGAAGCCTATGGACAGAAGAAATGGTATGTCTGAAAAAAAAAACCCTTCAAAACTATGGCAATAACCACAACAATTCCTTGAGCTAGTGGTTGGTAAAAAAAAACAAACTAGCAGACTTTTCGCCTAAAACTCGAAATCAACTCAAATACATAAAATAAAATAAATAAAAGTTAAAGTGGATTTTTCTCCATCATCAGAAAAACAAATTCTATCAGAATTAGCAAGAAAGTATTTTCTCAAGATATTCAATGGAACATTCAAATAAAGAGAAAATGTTTCAAAACTTGCCTTCTCAAAATGCACAAATAAAGTTAATTTGCTAATATTGTCTAAAATTCTGCGATGAGTCATTGTCATTTTTCTACAAGGTATTCAAACTATTATCCTTATCCTTATTGTTTTTTTATCACTGCATTTCGACTGAAACATTCTTTCGTCTTCCTCTTCTAAGATGTGTCATTGATTTTATTCTACAAAGTATTCAGACTAGTATCCTTGTCCTTATTGTCTTTATCAGTAAATTTCGATGGAAACATGCTTTGGTCTTCTTTATATTGTCTAACATTCTAAGATGTGTCATTGTCCTTATTCTACAAAGTATTCAGACTAGCATCCTTATCCTTATTGTTTTTATAACTGCATTTCGGTTGAAACATTCTTTAGTCTTCCTCATACTGTCTAACATTCTAAGATATGTCATTATCGTTATTCTACAAGGTATTAAGACTAGAATGCTTATTGCCTTTATTGGTAAATTTTTGTTGATGTATTCTTTGGCCTTGGTCATCTCTGAAATTCTTGGATTCAAATTAATATCCTTATTGTTTTTATTGCTATAGTCCGGTTGGTGTATTCTTTGGTATTCCTAATAGTGTTTATAATTCTGTAATGTATTATTGTTGTTATTATGCAACGTATTCAGACTAGTATCCTTATCTTTATTGTTTTTATAATTTGTTGTTTTGACCGCGGAGATGATGTTAGATGTAAATAAATAAATATACTTTTTAATAAATAAATAAAAACAGAGCATCTACTCAAATATGAGTATCCATTAAAAATAATGTTTAAACAAATAAA